TGCTGCTTTTCTTTATTTTTTAATAACTATTCAACACTTAATGTATTGTTGTAAGTTGTAAATGTAGAAACGGCGATTGTGTAACACTGTAAGGGGAATAATAAAGCATACAATATTTAATATATTCTCTTACTTAGCGTGGTGGTATAATAATATCTAATAATTTTGATAATTAGATAGAAAAATTTTGAGTTTTGATATATGAGTGCACTGATTGTCGCCTTTGATAAACGCATTATGATTCTTTAACTAGGAAGTTTGTAATGAGTTCTACTGTTAAATGATATGAAATGATGAAATTATAGTATATTTATTAATATAGCACATTATGTTAACTTTATATAATTTTAAGATATAATTTAAGATTATAATTTTAGATAATATTAGATTGTAATAGCTAATAGCTAATAATATTATTATATGTTATGTATACATAATATACATTTTTTTTCTTTTATTTTGTAGCAAAAAAAGTACAATACGTATAATCTTGGTATAAAGAACAAATGTAAAAACTTATTTGAAATGATTAATTATACGCGCTTATGCAATTTGCACAATTAAAATGTGCGACGATCAGTTATATGTGAATAAATTTTCAGGACATTCGATTATACTTTACGTTAAACGAAGAGTAATAATCGATTAAATACAAGCGTTGACTACATAATATGCTTTTCTTTAACATTATGACATAAAAGTCTGTCTGAAGTAATCTATTAAGAACTTTCCAGAATGGTCGATCGCATTTTAATAGCAGCATAACTGTTTTTTTTTTGTCATATCTATACATTTCACTTGCTATGATATTATATATTTCTAGAAATACTTTACACGACTTAGCTTGTTGATATGCACAATTAATTCTTTTTCTTTGCTTTATAATATAGCATTTATTGTTCAATTATTAATCTTATGTTGCATTTTTACTCGGTGGCTTAATTACTCTAAAAAATTCAATAAATTTACAAATAAGATGTAAAAGTAACATGATAAATAACGGAAATATACTGTAAATATAGTGTAAAATTTATAAAATTTACAATATTTTGTAATGTGAATTGTAAATGATGTAAATTTACAATATTTATTTAGTATAATTTATTTTGTTATTTATCATGTAACGATTACATCTTATCATGCATTATTATTACATTTATGTAAATTTATCGAATTTTTTTACAGTGTACAAGCAACGTTTTACTATTAAGCGGACTACTTTAATATTGTTAAAACAACGTTTTATGCGGAAAATATCTATTATTGATACTTGAGACGTCGGAACGTGAGATGTAGTTGACCTACAATCAAACTAGGCGTTAATCATCTTAATGAAGAAATAGATATTTATTACAGTTAGAACCGCCGCATTTCTTAGCGGCATGTAAGATTAAGGCAAAGCGAGAAAAAATTGATGACATGTACAAATGCAAATGAAGACTTACCAGAGAAAAAATCCGGCAATGCTTTCTGTGTACATCATCGGTCTCGCTTTTCTCGCTCCTCTCGCGAAGATTTCTCCCACTGATCGCTGCAGGAGCAATTCTTCCGGACAATCACGAAGATGGGGTCGAGATTATGCCCACTTATATTAACGCATTGCATGTCGCGTATGTGCAATTGTATGTACGTGCAATTTGTCACAAACACTTTTACCATATTTTTTTATATAGTTTATAGTCTTCTTCTCTACTTCCGATGATTACCATTCAATTACTCAATTCCATGCAACCATGCAATATTAATAAAAATATTTTTATTTAAAATCAAATTTACGTCTTTTACAAACGCTTTCTGAATCTATTCTGATGTTTTTTTATGTCGCTTTTTATATAGCAACACGATTAATAATTGTCATACCACAAAATAATAAGACTGTACATAGCCCATGCTTCCAATACAATTCAATACAGTCTAATAATTTTTCTCTAACTATTCGAGTAAATACAACCGTAATTGCGCTAACGACAAAGAATTAGACAAAAACGGGCAACGCATTCACTTAATTTGACACTACATTTAACTATTTACACTCAAAAAAATGATCTTGCAATAATAGCTAAAATTTTCTAGGTGTAAAAAATTAACTAAAACAGATAAATGATTAGCAACTGTTGTGATATTGCATATGTAATTACTTAATCAGTTTAGATGACAGAAACAGAATATATATCTGTATTGTTTGTGAACTTTAAAAAGAAAGTTTCTCTAAAGCGCCTATCTATATAAGATCAATCACGTGTTAGATCATGCAATGAATAACATTTAGCAATGGTACCTAAATTTTTCAGAAGCTATTGCTAGAACATTACTGCTATAAATTCTATATGTGACAAACAATGTTTTCACAGATACGAAAAATAGCGATACATTCTTGTTGCGATATCTAGAAATCTAACTACATCAGCGAAATATTTTTTTGAGTGTAATTTTAATATAAATAACCAATTATATATGTAATATTTAGAGTCAAACATTTATGTAAAAAGTTTGTTATTTTTAGTTAGTTGTAATTTAAAAATTATGATTATCATGACATTTTTGTTAAAGAAAAATTTATTCCAAATTAGATGAACAATAAATCAAAAGTTTCATAAATTTCGAATTATTTTGTATGTAATAAGAAATTAGATCAAATAAATTAAAAGTTATTTTTTTTTATAATTTGCTATTACAATAAAAATAGTTACACACACACACACACACACACACACACACACACATTTTTTCCTTTTTTTTATCATGTTCACAGCGTGCAGTAATGATCTTGTAAATTTTTAAAAATCTGGAAAACTTGTGTAATACAAAAGATCTTACTCTATACGTTTTATTCGACGTATGGCAGTTTACGACTTATCGTTATCTTCACTTTTACTGCGTAAAAAAAGTAACTACGTTTCTGTGGTTAGTCTATGAGATAATATTATCAGTTGGAGTCAAAGCAAATGTAAGAACAATGCTTAAGAATAATGTCTTAATAAAAAAATGTAATACATATATAGCTTGTTTTTTTTATAAATTTATACGATAACAAAAAATTAATAAAATTGAGGAAGGTACGAGGAAAATATATTAAACAGCGAAATACCTGGCTCAAATAAGTGAATGACCGAGTGTTTCGTAACAAACTCGCGCAGACGATAAAATTCTCCTAATTATCGATGATAGTCTCGAATCAGGGTCAAGTTCTTCGAAGATCATGCAATATAGCCTGAGACCTTGAATGTCTTCGCTTTTTTTTAATTGTCAAGCGTTATGGATCAAGAAAAATCGCTCGATGTCTCGTATTTTTAAGGAAGAGTGACGAGCGAAAAAAAAACTATTTGATATAATTTCTTATAAGATATGTGTCAAGAAAATTCAAACTTTTTAATCGTCAGGATCGTGGATAAACAATTCACGCGATCAGAATTTAACTGAAATTTATTCCAATCAAACCAAGTCGATTAGGGTCAATTCAGATAAATTGGAAGATATGTTTAATTGGTCGGCGACGTAAACTTTGTATTATCTCAACATAAGTGAAGTCAACACTTGATGCAAAAGTTCAATGTATTCTCTGCTTATTGCTTTAAAAAATTGTCAGTTTATGCGTGAGATCAAATAGTCCGGCACATTTAGTCTTTCGATTGAAGGATCGAGTAGCTGTGAGTAAGTTTGGTAGTAAATGCGAATCGACAGAGAAACTAATTTAATGTACGGAATACATTGAAAACTATTTAGGCTTATCTTTCCTTGATATTCCTTCTTCCTTATCAGTTTTTAATATTATTATTTAGTATTATTATTTTTTAATATTATTATTAATCCTTGATATCTTCAATAAGCAAGAATAAATTAATCATCTTGTTAAATCTTATTATTAGTATTAACTCATCGATCACAAAGATGTATATACGTGTGTCATATAGCAGTGTCAAATAATGATTTTAGTTTTAGAAATAAAAAGGGTGTATTTCATGAACTTTTGACGGAATTACTTTGAAAAACAGAAAAAGTTTGCTTATTGATTTGTATTTTTAATTGTAAAGTTACTTAAAATAGATGACAAAGAATGAAGAATAATTAAATTTAAAATCTACTACTAACCTTTGCCAAATTTTTTAATATACATATATTTGTCACAGGAATGCGGATATTTAGAAAAATTTTGGGAAGTCCTCTGAGCTCGTATAAATCAGATACTTCCCAATATGACGCATCCTGGAAATCCCCATACTTTTCGCACGTTTACCGTTCACCAGACGCTTTACGAAACGTAGTCTGAACTTTAAACTTAGGTGCCATAATAGGCATTCCATTCAAAATAGCTCTGGGTCCCATGAACTTTGTACTTACCATTTAAAAAATGGGCCGTTTATAAAATTTTCCATAAAAAATCATATAAATCTTTTACTCATACTTGTAAATCTTTTTTAGAACCTTGAAGAATATTATAACAAATAAATTTTGATCTTATCATTTTTGTTCAATATATATTTATTTTCAAAAATTTGTTTTTAGTAAATATATAAATGATATATTTTTTTTAATTTTTTAGAAAGATTAATATTTTTAGTAGTGTAATAATTTTAAAAAATTCTTAATTTAAAAAATATGCAACAAGTATTTTTAATTTGTTTTTGAATAATAAAACGATTATTAATTCAAATAGATTTATTCTATATTATATATATTAATATATTATATTGTGTGTGTGTGTGTATATACATATATGTAAAATGCACTTAATTATTTTATACTTTTTTTTTGTACATTGAGACACATGAGGTAAAAATAATATCAGACCTTATGCGATTACACATTCTTCTTAAAAACATGCACAAAACTATTAAGTTCCAATTATTATATGTATAACGATACTATAATAAGAAAGGGAATGATTTATATACCGATTATTTGAACATGTATAAATAAAAATGTTTAATTACATTAAAATCGTATTATTATTAAATTTATATTGCTTATATTATTCAATTTTTTATGTTATTTGTGTAACTCTTTATTTAAAAATTTCATGAATAATCGATATCAAATGCATTGATATTTTTCTAGTAACTTATCAAGATAATTAACATCTATCTAATGGTGGCATGCTAAATTATTATCGAACGCTGTCAATCTTCGCGTTATCTAGGCACAATTTCATCTTGCCTTCCGGTCAAATGGAAAAATCGCGAATTAACATTTGTGAATATGTAGGGTGCATTCTTTGTAGGGCAGAGTACTTTCTCCAGTATTCTGGGCAATCCTCTGTCCGTTTTATTTCCTACCGGCTCTAACATATTATTCCACAGAAGATTGGCGCCTAAAAATAAAAAAAAATGAGCATGATTAAATATTACACACAACATTTATATTATACAAATTTTACTATTTTCGTGTAAGAATGGCATGAATATCGGTAACGGTAGCTGGTGACGTTCTCTTTCACCATGACTCTTGTTGACACCATCTAAGAAACGCTTAATTATTTCTCTTAACGGTTTACATAATGAACGCACGCTCACATTGACAACAAGACAGCTGCAAAGAATTGATGATGATTATTACCTATCGAGATACTACTTAACCGATTCTTTCAATTTTAATCATGTACATCGGGGATAGAATAGTTTAAGAATAATTAATTCTGATGAATGCATTATGTTATTAATATTAATAGCTTAATAGCTTTATCTAATTTGTAAGAAATAGAAAAAATTTTAATTTTTCAAAATAAAATTAAAAATTAAATGCACATTGTACTGTTAGCAATAATATAATGTTTTAATAATAAATTATATAAGTTATAATTCATGAAATAATAATAATAATAATAATTTATCTTCATAAGTTAAATGTAATTTATGTAAAAAATTTTTCTAAACTTCTTTTTGTCATGCTTGACATGTATAGTAACATTAATTCATAAGTCTGCAGCCTAGTAGAATGCAGCCTTTTTAACTCTTAGACGTTTCTTCTGATGTGTCAACAGGCGTTACTCAATCGCTAACAGTGAATATTGATTGATAATTAATATTATAACAATTAACATAGAATTGTAACATTTTCAATACTATATTAAATTTGAAATAGCTTGATATAAAGCTATTATTTTGCTCGAATAAAAAATATTTATTAAACAGCTAGCACGATAAACATTAACATATGTATCTCTTACCGACTGCATGTCCTTTCTGACTGAAGTGGAAACAGTCGTATGTGACCAGACTGGAATCGATCGGTGGCGCGCGAATAGGATCTGCATTAGGTGCGTTGAATAATTTAATGAATGGCTGTAACACCACTGTGAAGTCTGGAGAATTGTCATATCTAAAAAGAAAAACAACAATATGTATAATGATTGCTAATTTTTTATATGCCATATCAAGTCCCAAGTTCCCAAGTAGAAATTAAACATAAAATATGATCAAAAACTTGGAAGATCGAATAAGAAAAGACTAATATATAAATAGATATAATAAAACAAAAAAAAGATAGCGATTAATGTTGTTAGATAAGTAGAATACATTTTATTTTTCATTGAACATTGAGTATGTACCGTCCTGAATATATCAAAGTTTCGGCAGCTTGCTGATACAGCTGTGACATTTTTGACGCCGTGATTTCCGGTCGATTACCTTTGTGCAAGCAGGCACAATAAAGGGGATGTAATATATTACACATGACGCTCCGCGTTACTCTAACTGACACCGTGACATCTGCGAAAGAAAGAAAATAATAAACATGAATACATAGGCAAATCCAGTGACAAGCTAAAAGAAGAATATGTAACTGCAACAAATATATGCTGTATTATAGCATGCTAGAGAAAAATAATAATCTAGAAAGAATATTGAGATATACCAATATGCATCGTATTGCTTACGCGTTTGTATAAAAATAAATTAAATCTTAATTACCTATAGCTGGAACTAGATTGACCAGAGTGCGAGGGAGTGCAACCTTTAAAAAATCGAGTGCTCTTCGCAAATGCAAAGCATAACGCATTGGCGAGAATTGTTGAGGATCGTAACATTGTGCCGAGCAAATATCATTAGCTCCAAATAGAATCGTAATAAGCTAAAAAATGGATAGAAATGATTGTTTGAATTGTACACTGAGAAAAAAATATACTAAAAAAAAAGAAAATTTCCTTAATTTTAGTAAATCGTTAGTTTGCATACAACTGTGAACGCATTTTTTTTTAAATAAGAAATTACATGTATTTATTTGAAGAACATAATTCCATTATAAAGAAAATTATTTATTAATTATAACAAGTATTTTGTATAATACAATCAATGATTATAGAAATATAATTTTTATTTTTTACTAATTAGTAATTTTCCAATCATATTTATTTATTTCAAGAAAATGCTTTTTTTATTAAGTAAAAAATCATTAATTGTAAGAATTATTTTGTACATTATAGTCAATATTTATTGAAATATAAATCTTATTTTTTATAAATTAGTGATTTCATAATAATATTGATTTAATTTAAGAAAATGATTTTTCTATTAAATAAATTATTCTTAATTTGTAAAAATAATTTTTTACAATATAGTTATTATGTACTAAATTATAGCTTTTATTTTTTACTACTTACTGATTTTGAACATAAAAATGAGAAAATGTTAACTTGAATTTTGAATATTTTTCTTACATACAAACAACAAGTTTGACAATTTAAAAAATTTAGAATAAATTTGTTTCATTATTTAGTACGGTCCATATTAAGTACGGTCTCAAAACGTATTGTACAGTTATTTCATTAGTTGGGTGGAGTCTTGAGAATGCCCACGACGAAATTTAAGATCTTGAATATACAATTGAACTATGAATATATATACCCATAGAAATACAAGGTATCAATAGCGTTCAACAGAAAAAGTAGTTCTATCTCTTAATAATTATTGCTTTTGACTTATTTGATTTGATATTGCTTTGATTGATTTATTTTCCTAAATCTATCAAAGATTTACAAGACTATTTCAATCACAAGTAATAATGACTAATCGCTTATTGAGCTTTTTCTACTGAATGCAGTTATTAAAATTCTTGCGAAACAACATACAGAAAAACATTTAAACGAAAGAAAAACAACTAGTAAAAAATGCGTTTTAAAAATTTAAAAACTTATTTGTTCCAAATAAAATATTCTTTCTCTTGTTATTGAATATATTAATTTTATTCCAGCACATGTTTCCTCAAATGTAATAAATTGTACTGAGAAAATATTTTTTTTTTATAAGTGCACTATTCATTATTTTTAAAAGTTTGGAAACATGAATTTAAACAAATATTTATTAAAACACTATTTTTAAAATTAAAAAATTCGGATTCAGTATTTTAAAAATTTATTTACTACATTTCAACAACTATTGCACTGTAATATACTAAAACCTGAATTTGAATTTAAGTAAATTTTTCAACAAGAAATTATTTTCTAATTTTAATGCATTATTTACTATAGTCTAATTGAGAAGTTTTTATATTATAAACATTATTTATTTAAATTAAGTACATTTAATTTTAGTAAATATATTTACTAAAATTAAGAAAATTTTTTTTTCAGTGTATGGGAATTTTCACACGACATTATTTCTTTTTGTCGATAAATTTTGATCGCTTTTTGTTGCCATAAAAATTACAGATTATTACCTTCCAGTGTTTCTTTATATTTATCTTTGGATCATCCTTGATCCTTTGCACTAAGATTCTCGCTTGGTGTAATGCGTCCTCCGTAGCAGCGACCGGGAATGCAATATTTAGCCTCGCCAATGTGGAAATAAACTCGCCCGTTCCGGTAGAATATCCAGTTAACCTCGGATTAAATACCTGTTACCGTGATAGTGAAGAGTATTAAGGTTTAAGCAGAAGACTTATGGTTTTTTATTATACGTATAAATGATACTTTCTTACTACTATGTATATTGTACACGAGATGTTGTGCTAAAACATGAAATATTGAATATTCATTCGTGCATTATTTTATTATTTAACCATGTGACGAAGGACAAATGTAATGTAGATGAAAATACCTTGAGACATTTCTGACATTTCATGTACCTTTAATATGTTAGGAAGCGTGAAGAACTGCCTCCAACTGCCTTGGCCCCCGACGCACCAGCTGACCCCGCGTGCCTCGATGAAAGTTCCTACGGCGTACTCCTCCATTGCACCGCTTCCGGCAACTAAGGAATCACCGAGGCCAGCCACCACATCGATGTCGCCTGGTCTCAAACGATGAACGTTATTTGGTATTGACAAGGATCTGCGGTAAACAAGAGAGAAATGTGATTTTTTTAATTTTACCCATATATTTGCAGTTTATCAAATTTTTTCCAAATCGTTTGATATGTAAATCTAAAATTTATTGTCAACATTAAGGAAGACTTGGGTGACTACATTTGACACTAAATTTGCGTTCAAATTACATGCATGTATTAGTATGGAAATCATCGGAATCATAATCACTGATTAAGTAAGGAGAGGAGAAAGAATATGGATATAGAA